TATTTACCTGCATTCAAACTAGTCACTAGGGGAAGGCAATTTTTAGTATACAATGAAGCAAGTGAAGTAGCTATTAGTTCAAGTCAGATCAGATTTGACGTTGATTGAGTGAACTGAAATGTTCGGCCTCTTTTGACTGCTGCGAAACTATTACGTACCATTTCACGATGTCTGAGGACTAAAAAATGGGAATTTGTGTTTCATGACTTTATCGTGTCCTGTGTAGTGAACTGAAAGACTCATGAGTTATTCATGTCGCAACTCATATTGTTGCTGGGAAGTCTGATGTTTCGAGTCATCGTTCCATCATTTTGTGATTCCATTCCATCGCCACGAAAGTCTTCACTTCATGTGGTATATGAAGGAAACGGTTTCATGTCAGTGGACTGAACGGTAATAAAATAGATGTTTGTCTAAAATCTTTTGAACTGCTAAATGTTATTAAAAGTAGTAGACGGATATAGCTGATCGGTCTTATTCATGTGAGATGATGTCTGCCACTCGAGTGTGCAGTCTGATGCCTTATCTGCATATAATGCATTTGCGGGTGGCATGAGGTGGGATAAAGTACTCTGCTAATGTGCATCGCCTACACACCGATCCTTCGCTAAAGTCTCTCTTGTCTTCTACCTTGTACTACTGATCACTAGAAGGCAGTTTGAGCCTTCATTTGTTTACTGTGCTGTTATTCCGTAGATATAAGTGTTGTTTGTTTCAATTCCCTGTGGAGTTTGTTTATTCGAATTCCCTGTATTCTTTACCTGAACATTCACGTGCTGCTTAGTCTGGCTATGGATCAGCTAGAGACACCTCAAAATGTGAGGTTTGTATATCATATTCATTATTTTATGTATCATACTGTACTTTAGATAAATCTTTTGTTTTGGGATTGCACGCATAACTCAGATGTTCGGTAAATTAATCGACCACAGTCACCGCTCTGGATTTCTTAGAAGCAATCTTCAATTATGTAGTAAAAATTTTCGTGAATATTTTGTAATGACGTTTAAGATACTGAGCATCTTGTGCGAGAATTTTACGTTCTTCGAATGGGTATCCATTTCAACTGATGCATCGACGGGGTATCCATTGTGGGTCATCTGGTTACGAGGAGAGCTGGTATACTTTTCAGTCACTAGAGACTGTTCTAAATGGCAAGCCGATGAATTCCAGCTTCTGCCAATTCACGATGTATATTGCACAACCACCAGCCAGTTTCATCAGCGAGTAGTTGATTTGTCGCCTGACATTTTGACCAGTAGTTGGTGAGCATCAGATAATTTTCCAGTGTCGTTTGAACAGCAGGGATTTAGTTAGTTACAGATCCGATCACGAGGTGGCAATAATTCGAGAACCACTGAAGAGCCGTTTCTTGGGGTTTTGAGACTGTCCATCATTAGGCATCAACAGGAATTCCGACACAGGTCTTTCATGGGCCATCGAATCGGATTCCAGTAACTCGAATATTCTACCAACTCGTGTTGAAACCGAGTGGTACCATGAAAATCTGGGAGTTATTCTCAGATGTATCTTCTTTTCAATTGAGTCATGCTGTATATTATTGTCATACTTTCCTCAATGCTTCTTCTTTGTGAATATGGTCACGATATGTTCACCTAGTTCCACTAGCTTCCTTTGACTGATCACTCCAATCTCACTCAAACTTCACAGTAATACAGACATTAATAATAATAATAATAATGATAATGAAACTATAATAGTTTTTGTGACCACAGACAACGTTCGATAAACATTTTCAAGAATACCAAATGCTCACAACCTGCTGACTGATTGACGTCGTTCATACCGAAAAGCAGAGAATTACTCTAAACAATAGATTTTCTGTCTGTGAATTTGTGTCTTTGAAGCAGTCAATAATCTGGTACAGAGTCATACTTCGTGTTATCGATTTTACATCCACACACAAAGGATCCTTAAAGCGATAAAGGAAAGCGAAGAAGAAGAAGAAGAAGAGAAGAGAGTACAGCTTAACTGACACACACAGTTTCAGTGTGATATAACATACACACACAGACACACAAACACAGACACAGACACAGACACACAAGTAGAGCGTCGTTGTTTGTGTGTATTTTATAGGCCAATCATGGAATGTGTGTATGGATTTGTTTTGTTTCGGTAGACTGACTGGTTAACTCAGTGACTTTGTTAATGATCATCTTAAGTTATTGAGTGATTGGACGATGTAATATTAGCAAAGAATGAATACGTATATACCTGCAATTCTTAAACAATTCAACAGTGTGTGGTGTATCAACCATGTTGACGTTTGGTTTTGACAGAATCGTACTGTTGATATTCTTACAGAGTAAGTTCAAAATCATTTTTTATTATTTGAGTTCAGTGGTCACTAGCTAGCTGGTTATATTATTATTATTAATATTATTATCATCATTTTATACCTTAAGGTTCTGAGTCGAAGAAGGTGCTGAAACATCTCCACTTCTGTCCTGTTCACTGTAGTTTTCTTTAGCTTGCTGTACGAATGCCTGTTAACTTTAATCTCTTCCTCATACTATATTCTCCATGGTACTCCCAACTGTTTGTTTATCTTTCTAGTTCCTCTCAACGGTTTGACGCATGGTGTCATTCAACAGCCTCCCCAGTGTGTGTCCGATCAACCTGAGTTTCCTTAGTCATATTTGTTGAGCAATAGGCTCTTAGTTGGCTTGTCCCTGAAGTTCCTTGTTGCCGATTATTTCTGATCATCCATCCAACCTTCAGTATGCAGCCAGTGAAATGCTGTTGGAGACACATCATGTCTCTCACACACATAAAATGACTCATATGACATTGGTTTTGAAAATCCAAATTTTGCTTTTCCTATGCTGAGTGTACCGGATTCTCCAACTGATTTCAGAGTGATGATGAACCCTTGTCTTGTCTGTCCAATCCAGCTTGGCTTTGTTATACATCTTCATCCGTTCCATCTGTAGTTGAAGCGATTCTACTCAATTCAGTGTAGCGATTGCCCAATTTCAAAAACTTATTCCATAGGTAGTTGTTGTTTTTGATGTCGGTTGGTTACCTTCATCACCTCCATCTTCGCTAATTCCATTCGAAGTCTTGTCTTCTCTGCCTGACTCTTCTGCAAACTTGTTAATTTTCATCTACAGCTTCGAATTTTGCATAAATGTAGATATAAATCTGTCATTGAGTCCAAATCTCCTATAGTCCCCTTATCGGTTCAACTTATACATGTCTTCTCACTTCTCCGAATTCGTCGTCATAATAAAGTCCGCCACAGTTGAGAATATCATCAGTGACAGTGAACAGACTCATGTCACTCCTACCTTCACTAAATTCTCTTCACTGAGTGTTCCATTGTCAAATCTAGTTAGTTAGTTAGTTGGGAAGTCTATAAGACAACGAGGAAATTGTACGATTTTTCTTCATGAGAACAATCTGCACTGTTTGCTTTTCTCAACAAAACTGAGCGATAAGTATGTCTGAGGCAAATGTCACTGATAGTATAATATACACTTACAAGGAAAAATGACGTTCTGGGCTGTAATTAACATTACAAATAGTCATCAGTATGAGATGTTGTTCTTATATTCTTTTTCGGGTTATCAAAATTAAACTCAGCTTGACAATCGGCCAACTTTCTGAGAACTCACAAATTTGAGTGTAATACGTTGGGGTGATCAGACAGATTGTTGGAAGGTAAAGTGCTGTCACAAAGTGAGCATACAGGTGACGTGTTTCATGAGTCAATCTAAAATGCATGTTCAGTGAAGGCTATCCATGTACACTACGAGGAGTAGAATGTCTCACTCATCGCACTGTTGTTGTCGTCAGCGGTGTAGCATTTGAAGCTTAGTTTGGTTCTCCATGAATAGAATGAAATGAGACTAAAAACTCATTGTTTCAAATAGGCGATTCCTGTTGAGCTATACTCATGTTTATTCTGTCTTATTATCTGTTGTCATCAAGTGCTCAATCACCTTCTTCTTCCATACAAATATTAGCTGTTAATGTGAAAGTAGAGTTGACGCGTTGTGAGTGAATGCAATTCAAAATCGGATAACTTTATTTTACACAAGACTGATAACTGAACGAAGGCGCCTCGAGGACAGATTACTGTTGCTTCCAATCAAATCTCAGTGTATTCACACAATTCGATAATCTGTTTATGTAGACTTACCTACTGCTACTTCTTACTACAATTTACCATTTGTCCGGAACAGGTGTTGAATCATTTCTACTGCACTTTGTTTTGGTGTTGAATCGATGAAGAAAGATCCAGAGAATAACGTGTCTGTGTGTATCGCTTTCCCTTCACTCACTAATATTATTTACTAACACATTTATCTTATCCTACCAACCCCACTGTGTGATAAGTTGTGAGCGATTGTATTCCAGTGTGGAAGACAAGAGACTTGGTGAAGTCATGTTTATTAGGAATTTGTTATCGCTATGCAAAGGAATTATGTACACCTTATCTTCAAAGCACCACTTGCGCAAGTCTTCCGTGTTGTGCTATTTCTGGCCTTCATATTATATTTCCTTGTGATCCTCTCACGTCATCCATGTATCTCCACAACGCAGAATCATTTTTTTCTCTGATGTCAAAGTTATCTCCTTGTTATTTGATATTTTATTGCCGATGGACGTCTCCTGATATGCTAGAGGTGAATCATATTGATAGCCCAAACTAAACCAGATTTATTCAGATTATTTGACTCAGTGCGTTCAATCATTCTTACTGTAACCCTAAACTCATATTTTCTGATAATGTGACTAATTCCCAGGAACTAGTTCAACATGTGTAATTGAACTTAGTTGTCTTCACTTCATTATTTTGGAGATCCATTATTGACTCTGTAGTGTCTATGGGCTGACAGAGTTTGAGTCTGATTAATTGAGTCAGATGGTTGAATTCATGTAAAGAACGCCGCCGTTATAACAGTATCCTGAAGAGTGCCATGTACGCACAAAAATTGTATCTGCCTAATTGTTTCTTTTAATCATTGTAGTAACAGTCTTGCCACAACGAATTTCTGGAAAAAATGAACTGGCTTATTTAGCTAAAAATAAAGATGAGAGTAAGTTGTTCTTCGTATCTGAATCTTTTACTGTTTTGCTTTTACCAAACAATCTTATTCGTTGAATGCTTTTATTGAAGTGAATTTTTTTTAATTTCGCTCTTTGATATGCAACACCTAGTCCCTAAGATTCATGCAAGCGCAATTCAGATTCCACTGCTGACCATCATCCATAAGGTAAGCGTCTCATTCTGTTTATCTCCGATGGTATAAAGTCAACACAATTGACTTGTGAGGATACTGAATTGCAGAATAATTCATTCAATGAAATGTTTTCTTTCCAGTATTGAGATAAATCTGTGATATCAAGTGAAAGAATACCATCTATTAGTTTTGATAGTGACCCCCAAATGGCCATCAGGTCCCTCGAATGCATATAAGTACAATAGTGAGATTCGTTAGGAAGCATTCAGAAATTATGAAACAGGAGTCCTCGAAATGTTTTTATGGTAGGTTTATTTCTTCACATTCCGTGCGTAATGTTGGGCATCAGGTTTGATCTTTTGAAGTGTTCGTTGCAGTGGTTTCATTTTGACCAAATTGACTTGCTAGCCTCACGTGTAACCTTCTCTATCTACGGGCCATACAGCTGTTTTAACGAGTGTTTGTAGTCCGTCAGATGCGGACGTGAACCCAGACCACTTGCGTGGATGGCGAGAATTCTTGAGATAAGCCACTGATGCCGCTTTCCTGAAATGATATTATTTCTATAAAATTCATTTGTTTTGGTGTAGTTGTGATCCCAGAGCTGGATGGCTTACTTGTGAAGCTTATGTCGCCCTACTAGGCAACACCATCATCGCACACATCAGTTTGTGAAATGAGCATTTACAGTTCTCCACGAGTTTATTAGTTGTCTCTCCTGGTGACGTTGGTTGTCTTAGTGAATCTTCAAACCCTCATACTAATTCGGTCGGACTGTAAGGGTGAGACACTCGTTCAATCCTGCAGTTCATTTGTCCCACATTCGTGTTAGTACCGACTGTTCACTGAATGTTTTCACAAAAGTCAACCGGCATCTGGGTAAATTACTGCAAACTCTGCGAAACTCTCTCTTCGTTTCTCACAATTCGACTTTTGTCCTAACTTTGTCCTACTGACTGCTAATGGTGGATCATTATTATTATTGATAATTTTATTGTAATCATTCTCTTAGTTTCCGAGTGGAACATAGGGTTTTTATGGCACACCTCATCCTGTTCCATCCTGTTATCTGCGGTCGTATTAAGTCACCATCAAAGTGAAGCGCAACTGTAGATGAACTTTCCCTCAGAGTGTGGCTGATCTATCTTCATTTTCTTCAGCATATTTGTCAGGTAATAGGTTGTTAGTTGACTTACGGCCTGTACGCGTTAGACCATGGCTAATCCTCCTCAGCAGGTCATCTGATCTTCACGATGAAGCCAATGAAAGCAGGTGTTGTCAAAAGTCTGAATCTGTTCTAAATGGCGAGATTCTATAGTTGGTTGCCTGTTGAACGAATAAGAAATCGAGTTCAATCCCTCGCCACTGGAATTCAAAGCATCTGTAGTCGTGATGCGCGATAAGCACAACTAGATCTTCTGAAAGATGTCTCCATCCAAAATGGACACTCACCAATATCGATTGACAAGAATATCAGAACAATGTCAAAGACGAACCATAATCTTCTTGAACCTTAATTTCAAAGGAGACAACGTGAGATATCCTTCGGAGGAGAATTTCATCATTTCTGCCAAGAGTCATCTGAGCAACGCGTGTAGAAGCCTGAAAGAGGAAATCTCACATCTGAACACTTCCGTGTGTATAAATGATTTCGGTTGTTGCTGTGGAGACAGGTAAATTGGTCATTTCACGCTTATCTCGTCTAAGGTGGAAATGTCAAAGGAGACTCTCCCATAGCATTATTTCATGGAAATAGCAGTGACTCTGTAACGAGTGAGATAATAGAACACCTTGTCAACATTTGTCATTCCGTCTAAACAACCGTCTCCTTCAGAGTAATCTACCTACCAAGTGAAGAATAACCTGCCAAAGACAGTACTTTCTCGTCCCTGTCTCACTGGCCATGCTTCAGCCCTTCAATTAGAGAAACCATGTCTTTGCATAGAAAAGAAATTTATTCAACTACTTCCATTGTCATGGTAACAACTTTGTTTCTGTCCTCCACCAACTTGATAGTGGCTATTTTCTTTCCTTGACTCCTTACAACACTTGTATTTCTTTAGGATTCTCACATGATTTTCTTCGTTTCTATATGCCGCCTGATTCAAAGTCACTCATTAAATTGTTCATGTTATTACATTACTCCAATACACTGATTCAATTCCTCTTATACACTGGTTGACATCTATGATTATGTTAACCTATTACGTATTTCTACTGTCCTCTTCGTTTTTTGAAAAGAGTCCGTATATAGGTGTGATAGTACAGCTTCGCATTCCCACTGTACACCGAGTAGCGGATTCCTATGGACTATACAAGTTTCTCTAAGCAAATCGATGTCGACAGACAATGCATTATTGTTGGTGTGATTTATTAATCCTGACTCAGTGAAACTACACTGCCAGCCTCTCTGATTTGGTTGTATTCCTTGAGTCGGTTTGTTGATTTAACTGCAAAGCTTTCGTTGTGTGTCTTCTAGACAACAACATCGCCTCAGTGAAAGCCATTCTATGAAATGTGAACTTATTTCAATTCTCCATGAATGATAATATAACTGTTTCTCAAGGTGACTTAGGTCGTGATTGATTGTTGATTCGCCTCCGTACTCATTGTTTTCGTAAATTTGTTTCCTTCGTCTTTATTGATTGATAAATTTGATTTGCAGTAATCACGTGTCTTTCAATTGCAGATTTGTCTCAACACACTACCTGTGTACATTCCATGACATTTCTTCAGTGTTTCCACTCTCTAAGGGTTCTGGATATTCAGAGTTCAACTGGTTAACATAATTGTCGACATGCACCGATATGAAAGATTGCATATCCTGTCTCTTGACAGGCAAGTTTTGTTCTTGGGTTGTGCGTCGAGAAGGATGCCCACTTCGGTCAATATCGTGTTTATCACAGTTTGTATAATCCCCTTTTGGATGGTGTGTTGTTGGCGGTGTTGTCTTCTTCTACTGTTGTGCTGGTCTTTTCATCTGCACAGTACTGCATGAATAGGATTGACTTCCATTGTGTGTTCCATCTATTTCAAATGGTTCCAGTAATCTAGCCGCAATTTCAGAGAAATTTTAATCTGAATTGGTATGAATTTCCTTGTGATGGTTGAGGATGGTTTCTTGTTGGAATTTTGATTTGAGTCTAGACATGTCTCGAGGAAGTAGCACGAGTATTCATTATCCTTGAAGACAGTCTCTTTTGTTCTGTCAGCACCGGAGTGCTGCAGTATGTTCTAACTCTTACAAACAAGGACTGCATACAGCTTATCTTGTGAGTCGTTGGATCATCACTACTGTATTTCCTAATTTGTTCTTTGTGTGCTCGCGTGCATGCGTGAGTGTGTGCGTCTTTGTGTGGGTGTGTTGTTATTCTGCATATGTGTGTTTCCGAATTTTCGGCATTTGTTCTCTAGATTAAGACATCGAAGGACGAAGGGATTTCGTTGTCTGATTCTCCTTCTCTTGGGTGTGAATTTCGACGTCTACCAATGTGATGTTGATTAATGTGTGGGTGTACCTATTATCACGAATGTGTCATCAAAATAAGGTGGCGAGATGCTTATTGTGATTATGGGTTGAGCTATCAAATTCTAGTCTTTGCATAACGACCTCGTCTATTAGTCCTGATGTGTGCGATCCCATTGATTTTCTCTATATCTCTTCGTATATCTCGTTGTTGAATTGCAAATATGTTAAAAACATAAGTCGACGAGTTCCATTGAATTTGAAGATTGCCATTTTGTGCATTCATCGCTATGGAGGAATCGCTGCATAGCTTTAAGTGTTGACATTTTCCGACCAGTTGAAGCGTATGATGCTGTGAGAATAGTGAATGCCACGATTTCATTGTCATCTACTTGAATGTGTTTGTGCATGTTTTCTAGATATTGAGTTAATGAACTAATTGATTGATCGCATGATTCTGTTGAATAGTTGTATTTTATGGAAAGTTCCATTTTATTAGGTTTTCAGGATCCGACTAGCCACAGAGTGGTGTGTTCGTATAAGTAGGATTTTCCCGATGTCCGAGTGGAACTGGTGTTGAATCATTCATTTCTGTTGCACGCATTTCCAGTTGATTCGACAAATAAAGCTGCAGCTATGAATGTCGCTCATAACCCTGCTATTTTGGATTTTTTGACTGTTATCTTATGCCGTCCTGCACTGTATAACTGTGTAAAATTGAATGTGGTGTTTGTCATAGCTGAGCTATTCTCTTGATTACCCTTCTTATCAGCATCAACCAATCTAGATTTTGTCAAGCTTTCGTGCTCCGCTAGTCTGGTCGACCTCGTTCCACTAATTCGACCTACAAATTTGACCTGGAAATCATTCTAGCCACCAGGTGAACTGAATTACTCTCTGTTTAGTGTGACCCTTCTATGCCGCTGCGACCAACATAATTTGTTTCTAGGTGAGCCTATTGGTATGTGACCGTGGGAGGTTGGGTTTGTGCAGTGACACTTTAATTACTGCCTTGTTGAGGACTCCATGTGAGATTTCCAAAGGATCGAAGCGAACTAGAGAATGAAATAAACGAATCTGTGTAGTCCTAATTTACATGATCATATCCAGTAACAGAGTGTGTTGTAAACTCTGTCATTCAGTAAGTAATACTGCCTCACTGTATGTGTTAGTGTGTGTGTGTGCATGTGTCCAACAAACATAAATTATGTGGAATCGCATACCAACACAGTGATGGTTGTCATACAGTTGTAGATTTTGAAGCACTCTTCACATAGTTTTTATTTTTAAATTGTTTGATGCCAGTGACTCTGTTGGTTACAGGTTAGATGGGGAATAGATATTAATTGGAGAATCACTGGAAGGTAGCGATGGGTGTTGGACAGCCAGCCGCTTCGTCTTCGTCGTTTGGGCTATTTTGGCATGCCAGTGTATCCAGCGAGCAGCTGGCGTCTTAAACACCTTCGATGTAATTCCAGTGACTGAATGGTCTAGGCTTGCGCCAAGAAATGTAGATGACTCGAAACCTGGTGACACGTGCGCAGTGCTGAAGTCTTCGAAACAAGAACGCGGATGAAACAACTGGCTGTGCAGTTATCCCTATTGCTTTCCAATGCCTGTCCAACTGATGTCAACTCATCATAAAACCTGCAGTGTCCACTCTTCTCATCACTTCACTAACTTCACTTCAAATTTATACTCACACATCATCATGAATATTTTCATTATTATTTTGTCTATTTTAATTTACAAAATACAGATGGAAGCAAATTTTGGCTACTTCAAGAAAGCGACGAATATTTAAGTTTTTCTTGGATTACATTTAGTCCTTCTGTTATCAATGCAACGCAATTTTATTTAAATATCAATTTTCAAAGACAGATCGACCAGTCTGTTTATGTGGATGGAACGTCCGGAAAATTTGGAATCAATTCAGGCCCATGCAAAGAGTCAGAATATAATATTATGGGGAAAAGAGCCGAAGATGTTCACCCTATAACAGTTACACATTCACTTTATTATAAAAGAGGTAAGTCAAGAGAGATGAATGCGGAGCAGCATAGAGTAAGTCACTGTTACCTCCTATCAACTGCACACACACACACAGACACTGAACACATTTCGTTGAATATCTGTTATTCGATTTTTCTAATCATCTAGAATGTTTCATGGAAAGCAGATTTGCGTCATTTTGAACGAATCATAGAATGCAAGTCGGAAACCTGCCTGAATTAAAAAAAAATCCTAGACTTCGGAAGCGCCTTCGACAGTGCACCATTTACCAAAAAGTATTTGGAATCTACTAAAACACTCTGTCGTGCACTGTGCCAAATCTTATGACACTGTCAAATTCTACTGAAACACTGAGATAGCTGATTCCAAACTTGGATGTAGTCGTCAGTGTTGAAGAGTGCTGAAGAGTCTCAAGATGTAATCCATCGCTTTCCACTCGAGTCTCACCTGACAGCCTGCTTGGTGTGTGATCACCACTACCTAATTCAGCAGCGGTGCTTTCAGCTTCACACTACTTCTTTATTAGGATAGGCAGTTGTAATTCACTCACACCACTCAACCGATGGTGCTTGTTAGCCAGTGAAATCGAAGTGTTCCAAACAGCAGACGGCAGATCCAGTCGTCTGAGGCCGAGCAGATCAGCAGTGTACTTGGATTGACTCAGCTCAAGGAGTAGACTTAGTTGAAAACACCTGAACTCTGTCTGGCTGACTGACTGATTGCCTGTCTGGCTGACTAGCAAGGTACCAAAATAACTGCTGATTGAGAGAAATATCTAGTGATGGCCTGATTTATGCGTTAATGCTTAGTACATTGAGAGAGATAAATTCATATAAGGGACAGATTGAAAAAGCAATAAGGAGACCCCTGAATTCACATTGTTACTTCTTTTGCCAACTGTCATGTCATATTATGTAAGAATTTATTAGCCAAAAAACAAAAACCTCAGTTTCGTTGTTCTTCAATTGTTTCACGAGTTCCGAGGATCCATTTCGTCCAGCTACCGTCTAGAAATCTTCAAAATGTAACATGGGAACAAGAATCTGCCTTCTGTAGTGCAGATGACGTCACAGTTATCTTCAGTGGACAAGACGATCAACCACTTGAAATGATCATCGTACAGGGTGATGAGAAGAAGTATTCTCTGAGAAATCAAGCCGAAAATCGATTGATCTTCACTATCTCACATGGAAACAGATTCTCCCTACCAAAGTTGGGTAAGCTACCTACACGTAATAATCATATATATATATATAGAGAGAGAGAGAGAGTATTATCTAAAATATTCACAGTAATTATAGGAGTCATTGAAGGCAGCAGTGTAATCGTAACGTCATCCAGTAAATAATACTGTTTCACTGTATGATACATCCAATAAACAAACTAATACGGAATTACTTACTATCACAGTGCCCAAGATTTACACATATATTATAATCAATACTTGTATATGAATTCTAATGCGATGAAAGGAAATGAAAATGTGAATTGTTGGTTTGCAGGGATTTGATCGGTTACAGGATTTCATCGTCGAGTTGGAATTCATGGGCCGCTGGAAGGCGACGCAGTGTCCTGATGGTCTACAAGACCGTCTCGTAACCGATTGGCCTCCGATTCGATTATTGGTGGTTAGGGCATACTGCAGATCAGTCATAAACAACAAGGATGCAACAAACTGATGTTCGGTACTCCCTGTCGCCTTTCAGTGGTACTCAGACCGAAGTCAGTTGGGACGATGAGATCCTGTAAGCGAAGGCGAATTTCTTAGAAACACTCGTCTAGAGGAACAAAGATTCGAAGAGATATGGGTATACAATCGAGGGTCAAATGTACAGCAGATCGAATTCCACATACGGAACGGGTAAAACAGAAAACACGAATTATAAGAGATGTATAAGGACAAATCTTACTATAAGCGAAACGCTTTGTGATGGATATCTGCACGCACTCGCAATGCATCTGTCCTAATTGCCATTCTTAATCTTTGTAGTAACAGTCTTGCCACAACGAATCTCTGAAGAATATGAACTGGCATATTTAGTTAAAAATAATGATAGCTGTAAGTTGTTCGTGGTATATGAATATTTTATTGTTTTGCTTTTTCCAAATATTCATTTTGGTTAAATGCTTTTATTGAAGTTAAATTTTTCATTTCGCGTTTTGATGTGCAACAACTGATCCCTGTGATTCATGCATGCACAATTCAGATTCCGCTGCTGACCATCATCCATCAGACGAGCGTCTCATTCTGTTTGTCTCCGATGGTGTAAAGTCAACACAATTGACTCGTGAGGATACTGAATAGCAGAATAATTCATTCAATGAAAGGTTTCTTTCCAGTATTGAGACAAATCTGTGATATCAAGTGAAAGAATACCATCTATTAGTTTTGATAGTGACCACCGAATAGCCGTCAGGTCACTCAAACGCATATAAGTACAATAGCGAGATTCGTTAGAAGCATTCGGAAATTAGGAAACAGGAGCCTTTAAAATGTTTTGATGGTAGGTTTATTTCTTCACATTCCGCGCGTAATGTTGGGCATCAGGTTTGATCTTTTGAAGTGTTCGTTGCAGTGGTTTCATTTTGACCAAATTGATTTGCTAGTCTCACGTCTTACCTTCTCTCTCTACGAGCCGTACAGCTGACGTAGCGAGTTTTTGTAGTCCGTCAGATGCGGTTCTGAACGCAGACCACTTGCGTGGATAGCGAGAATTCTGTAGCTAAGCCACTCATATTTTATCCTGAAATCATAATATTTCTATAAAATTCATTTGTTTTGATGTAGTTCTGTTCTCAGAGCTGGATGGTTTGCTTCTGAAGCCTTCGTCGCCCTGCTAGGCAGCAGCACCATCATTGCACAGATCAGTTTGTGAAATGAGCACTTACAGTTCTCCACGAGTTTATTAGTTGTCTCTCCTGGTGACGTTGGTTGCCTTAGGGAATCTTCAAACACTCATACTGATTTGGTCGGGCTGCAAGGGTGAGACACTCGTTCAATCCTGCAGTTCATTTGTCCCACATTCGTGTTAGTACCGACTGTTCACTGAATGCTTTCGCAAAAGTCAACCGGCATCTGGGAGAATTACTGCAAACTGTGAGAAACTCTCTCTTCGTTTCTCACAATTCGACTTTTGTCCTAACTTTGTCCTACTGACTGTTAATGGGGGATCATTATTATTATTGATAATTTTATTGTTATCATTCTCTTAGTTTCCGAGTGGAACATAGGGTTTTTATGGCACACCTCATCCTGTTCCATCCTGTTATCTGCGGTCGTATTAAGTCACCATCAAAGTGAAGCGCAACTGTGGATGAACTTTCCCTCAGAGTGTGGCCAATCTATCTACATTTTCTTCTGCATATTTGTCAGGTAATAGGTTGTTAGTTGACTTACGGCCTGTACGCGTTAGACCATGGCTAATCCTCCTCAGCAGGTCATCTGATCTTCACGATGAAGCCAATGAAAGCAGGTGTTGTCAAAAGTCTGAATCTGTTCTAAATGGCGAGATTCTATAGTTGGTTGCCTGTTGAACGAATAAGAAATCGAGTTCAATCCCTCGCCACTGGAATTCAAAGCATCTGTAGTCGTGATGCGCGATAAGCACAACTAGATCTTCTGAAAGATGTCTCCATCCAAAATGGACACTCACCAATATCGATTGACAAGAATATCAGAACAATGTCAAAGACGAACCATAATCTTCTTGAACCTTAATTTCAAAGGAGACAACGTGAGATATCCTTCGGAGGAGAATTTCATCATTTCTGCCAAGAGTCATCTGAGCAACGCGTGTAGAAGCCTGAAAGAGGAAATCTCACATCTGAACACTTCCGTGTGTATAAATGATTTCGGTTGTTGCTGTGGAGACAGGTAAATTGGTCATTTCACGCTTATCTCGTCTAAGGTGGAAATGTCAAAGGAGACTCTCCCATGGCATTATTTCATGGAAATAGCAGTGACTCTGTAACGAGTGAGATAATAGAACACCTTGTCAACATTTGTCATTCCGTCTAAACAACCGTCTCCTTCAGAGTAATCTACCTACCAAGTGAAGAATAACCTGCCAAAGACAGTACTTTCTCGTCCCTGTCTCACTGGCCATGCTTCAGCCCTTCAATTAGAGAAACCATGTCTTTGCATAGAAAAGAAATTTATTCAACTACTTCCATTGTCATGGTAACAACTTTGTTTCTGTCCTCCACCAACTTGATAGTGGCTATTTTCTTTCCTTGACTCCTTACAACACTTGTATTTCTTTAGGATTCTCACATGATTTTCTTCGTTTCTATATGCCGCCTGATTCAAAGTCACTCATTAAATTGTTCATGTTATTACATTACTCCAATACACTGATTCAATTCCTCTTATACACTGGTTGACATCTATGATTATGTTAACCTATTACGTATTTCTACTGTCCTCTTCGTTTTTTGAAAAGAGTCCGTATATAGGTGTGATAGTACAGCTTCGCATTCCCACTGTACACCGAGTAGCGGATTCCTATGGACTATACAAGTTTCTCTAAGCAAATCGATGTCGACAGACAATGCATTATTGTTGGTGTGATTTATTAATCCTGACTCAGTGAAACTACACTGCCAGCCTCTCTGATTTGGTTGTATTCCTTGAGTCGGTTTGTTGATTTAACTGCAAAGCTTTCGTTGTGTGTCTTCTAGACAACAACATCGCCTCAGTGAAAGCCATTCTATGAAATGTGAACTTATTTCAATTCTCCATGAATGATAATATAACTGTTTCTCAAGGTGACTTAGGTCGTGATTGATTGTTGATTCGCCTCCGTACTCATTGTTTTCGTAAATTTGTTTCCTTCGTCTTTATTGATTGATAAATTTGATTTGCAGTAATCACGTGTCTTTCAATTGCAGATTTGTCTCAACACACTACCTGTGTACATTCCATGACATTTCTTCAGTGTTTCCACTCTCTAAGGGTTCTGGATATTCAGAGTTCAACTGGTTAACATAATTGTCGACATGCACCGATATGAAAGATTGCATATCCTGTCTCTTGACAGGCAAGTTTTGTTCTTGGGTTGTGCGTCGAGAAGGATGCCCACTTCGGTCAATATCGTGTTTATCACAGTTTGTATAATCCCCTTTTGGATGGTGTGTTGTTGGCGGTGTTGTCTTCTTCTACTGTTGTGCTGGTCTTTTCATCTGCACAGTACTGCATGAATAGGATTGACTTCCATTGTGTGTTCCATCTATTTCAAATGGTTCCAGTAATCTAGCCGCAATTTCAGAGAAATTTTAATCTGAATTGGTATGAATTTCCTTGTGATGGTTGAGGATGGTTTCTTGTTGGAATTTTGATTTGAGTCTAGACATGTCTCGAGGAAGTAGCACGAGTATTCATTATCCTTGAAGACAGTCTCTTTTGTTCTGTCAGCACCGGAGTGCTGCAGTATGTTCTAACTCTTACAAACAAGGACTGCATACAGCTTATCTTGTGAGTCGTTGGATCATCACTACTGTATTTCCTAATTTGTTCTTTGTGTGCTCGCGTGCATGCGTGAGTGTGTGCGTCTTTGTGTGGGTGTGTTGTTATTCTGCATATGTGTGTTTCCGAATTTTCGGTATTTGTTCTCTAGATTAAGACATCGAAGGACGAAGGGATTTCGTTGTCTGATTCTCCTTCTCTTGGGTGTGAATTTCGACGTCTACCAATGTGATGTTGATTAATGTGTGGGTGTACCTATTATCACGAATGTGTCATCAAAATAAGGTGGCGAGATGCTTATTGTGATTATGGGTTGAGCTATCAAATTCTAGTCTTTGCATAACGACCTCGTCTATTAGTCCTGATGTGTGCGATCCCATTGATTTTCTCTATATCTCTTCGTATATCTCGTTGTTGAATTGCAAATATGTTAAAAACATAAGTCGACGAGTTCCATTGAATTTGAAGATTGCCATTTTGTGCATTCATCGCTATGGAGGAATCGCTGCATAGCTTTAAGTGTTGACATTTTCCGACCAGTTGAAGCGTATGATGCTGTGAGAATAGTGAATGCCACGATTTCATTGTCATCTACTTGAATGTGTTTGTGCATGTTTTCTAGATATTGAGTTAATGAACTAATTGATTGATCGCATGATTCTGTTGAATAGTTGTATTTTATGGAAAGTTCCATTTTATTAGGTTTTCAGGATCCGACTAGCCACAGAGTGGTGTGTTCGTATAAGTAGGATTTTCCCGATGTCCGAGTGGAACTGGTGTTGAATCATTCATTTCTGTTGCACGCATTTCCAGTTGATTCGACAAATAAAGCTGCAGCTATGAATGTCGCTCATAACCCTGCTATTTTGGATTTTTTGACTGTTATCTTATGCCGTCCTGCACTGTATAACTGTGTAAAATTGAATGTGGTGTTTGTCATAGCTGAGCTATTCTCTTGATTACCCTTCTTATCAGCATCAACCAATCTAGATTTTGTCAAGCTTTCGTGCTCCGCTAGTCTGGTCGACCTCGTTCCACTAATTCGACCTACAAATTTGACCTGGAAATCATTCTAGCCACCAGGTGAACTGAATTACTCTCTGTTTAGTGTGACCCTTCTATGCCGCTGCGACCAACATAATTTGTTTCTAGGTGAGCCTATTGGTATGTGACCGTGGGAGGTTGGGTTTGTGCAGTGACACTTTAATTACTGCCTTGTTGAGGACTCCATGTGAGATTTCCAAAGGATCGAAGCGAACTAGAGAATGAAATAAACGAATCTGTGTAGTCCTAATTTACATGATCATATCCAGTAACAGAGTGTGTTGTAAACTCTGTCATTCAGTAAGTAATACTGCCTCACTGTATGTGTTAGTGTGTGTGTGTGCATGTGTCCAACAAACATAAATTATGTGGAATCGCATACCAACACAGTGATGGTTGTCATACAGTTGTAGATTTTGAAGCACTCTTCACATAGTTTTTATTTTTAAATTGTTTGATGCCAGTGACTCTGTTGGTTACAGGTTAGATGGGGAATAGATATTAATTGGAGAATCACTGGAAGGTAGCGATGGGTGTTGGACAGCCAGCCGCTTCGTCTTCGTCGTTTGGGCTATTTCGGCATGCCAGTGTATCCAGCGAGCAGCTGGCGTCTTAAACACCTTCGATGTAATTCCAGTGACTGAATGGTCTAGGCTTGCGCCAAGAAATGTAGATGACTCGAAACCTGGTGACACGTGCGCAGTGCTGAAGTCTTCGAAACAAGAACGCGGATGAAACAACTGGCTGTGCAGTTATCCCTATTGCTTTCCAATGCCTGTCCAACTGATGTCAACTCATCATAAAACCTGCAGTGTCCACTCTTCTCATCACTTCACTAACTTCACTTCAAATTTATACTCACACATCATCATGAATATTTTCATTATTATTTTGTCTATTTTAATTTACAAAATACAGATGGAAGCAAATTTTGGCTACTTCAAGAAAGCGACGAATATTTAAGTTTTTCTTGGATTACACTTAGTCCTTCTTATATCAAACCAGATCATATGGCTGACACAGATCTTTTTAATGGCAATGTCTTCGATTTTGATGATAATGAAACCTCAATAACAGCGCGTCTTTATTCAAAAGGATGCGAAAATTTCTTTTATGGTATCAGAGGGCCTTTACACTTTGGGCGTCCAGAAATATATCAACTTTACTATAAAAGAGGTAAGTCAAGAGAGATGAATGCGGAGCAGCATAGAGTAAGTCACTGTTACCTCCTATCAACTGCACACACACACACACAGACACTGAACACATTTCGTTGAATATCTGTTATTCGATTTTTCTAATCATCTAGAATGTTTCATGGAAAGCAGATTTGCGTCATTTTGAACGAATCATAGAATGCAAGTCGGAAACCTGCCTGAATTAAAAAAAAATCCTAGACTTCGGAAGCGCCTTCGACAGTGCACCATTTACCAAAAAGTATTTGGAATCTACTAAAACACTCTGTCGTGCACTGTGCCAAATCTTATGACACTGTCAAATTCTACTGAAACACTGAGATAGCTGATTCCAAACTTGGATGTAGTCGTCAGTGTTGAAGAGTGCTGAAGTGTCTCACTCGGGTTCAGCTCGACCACCTGCTTGCCATGTGATCGTTCCTGATTTATCCTTCTTCCTAGTTGACATCAATGAAACAGAATGACTGCTTCATACAGAAAGAGATGCTTTCAGCTATATAATACTTCTTTGTCAGTATGCTCAGTTTATACTACATTACACCACTCACACCACCAGTAATGTTTGATAGTCAGCAAAATCGAAGTGATCCAAACAGCAGACGGTCGATTCACGCATTTGAGTTCGAACTAATCGCCTGTGTGTTTGGTTTGACTCACCTCAAGCACTAGACGAAGTTGAGAACGGCTGATTCCTGGCTGTCTGACTAGCTATCTACTTGAAAGGACTTGTAATTTAAATAAACAGCCAGTGAAGTCCTACCTTACACGCTTATGTCTAGTGTGCTTAGAGGGGTGAATAAGTCGAAAGGAACCACTTCGAAAAGAATAAGATGACCCCTGAAATGTCGTTATTACCTCCAATGCCAACTGTCAATTTACCATAATATGTAGGAATTTATTGGTCGAAATACTAAATCGTCAATTTCGTTTCTCGTTAATTGTTTCACCAGTTCCGAGGATCAAGAACATCCAACTTCAGTCAGAAGATATCAGAAATCTGATATGGGAACAAGAATCGGCCTTCTGTAGTGCAGATGACGTCACAGTTATCTTCAGTGGACAAGACGATCAACCACTTGAAATGATCATCGTACAGGGTGACGAGAAGAAGTATTCTCTGAGAAATCAAGCCGAAAATCGATTGATCTTCACTATCTCACATGGAAACAGATTCTCCCTACCAAAGTTGGGTAAGCTACCTACACGTAATAATCATATATATATATATAGAGAGAGAGAGAGTATTATCTAAAATATTCACAGTAATTATAGGAGTCATTGAAGGCAGCAGTGTAATCGTAACGTCATCCAGTAAATAATACTGTTTCACTGTATGATACATCCAATAAACAAACTAATACGGAATTACTTACTATCACAGTGCCCAAGATTTACACATATATCAATAATCAATACTTGAATATGAATTCTAACGCGATGAAAGGAAATGAAAATGTGAATTGTTGGTTTGCAGGGATTTGATCGGTTACAGGATTTCATCGTCGAGTTGGAATTCATGGGCCACCGGAAGGCAACGCAGTGTTCTGATGGTCTACAAGACCGTCTCGGAACCGATTGGCCTCCGATTCGATTATTGGTGGTTAGGGCATACTGCAGATCAGTCATAAACAACAAGGATGCAACAAACTGATTTTCGGTACTCCCTGTCGCTTTTCAGTGGTACTCAGACCGAAGTCAGTTGAGACGATGAGATCCTGTAAGCGAAGGCATATTTCTTAGATACATCACTCCGGAGGAGCAAAGATTAGTAGACAAATAGGTATGAAAGTCAGAGTCAAATGTACAGCAGAACCAATTCCACACACGGAACGGGTAAGATAGAAAATATGTAAGGTGACAGAAGAATAAGGATAAGAATATGACAATGGTGGCAAATCTTACTCTAAGCTAAAAGCTTAGATATCTAAATTACTGACAGTATAGTGACTGGCATGATTCTGAGGCAACACACTTCATGCTCCTGAAAATATAGCTGAATCACCGTTGTCAACTTGAATTTTGTCGTCTTTTTAGAACAGATCAACAGTGATGTTGGTAAAGATGCTTCCATTTCGACAGGTGAGTGTCAATATCTCTCCCATACATTGCTTTTGTAATGCAGACGAGAGACTGATAAGGTATTTCTCGCTGTCTTGTTGTCCAGTTTTCATGCAGTAGATTTTTGAAGAAGAATCTCGAGTGTCGTGAAGCAGGCGACTATTGTGAGCACCAAAAATCCATAGGTGATGCCACACAGTCGACATGCCACCAGCTATGACAAATCTGAATCGAACTGCTCTTCTTCTTTTTCTTTATGTCTTATTTTATTCCTTCACTTTCCTACCTGAACATAGGGATCTCAGCTGGATTTTCGAAATGGCAGTAACAGTGGTGTGTATTTTGAGCGAGTGAAGGTGCAACGCCTATTCCGAGACTTCCGTTCCTCTTCATCAATCTGAACGCATATTTAGCTCATTGCATTATTATTACAGTTTCCTTCAATTCCTAGAGGAGCAAAGGGCTGACAGTTTGTTTTGTTAAAGCGTGGGCAGTCCACCTCCATTTCTTCCTTCATATTTGTTGCACAATCGGTTACTTTTGGGCTGGTTCATTTGTTGAAATTTCACGCTTTTTTTCATTTACATGCTAAGAATGGCTGTTGACTTCCACATAGACTTGAGAGTGATGGGAGCTAGCCTTGATTTCTGATCCTCGAACTTTGATATCCTCATCAGTTCCATCCGCATATTGTTGAAACTTTGCTTCCCAGGTAGGTTGGGTAGGTGAAGGAGGTCGCTACTTTCAGATTCCTTCCATTTATGCTGTTTTTTGTCTGTTGTTGTTGCAGTTGACCAGGAATCTTCATCACCAACGCCTGTCTTCTCTGTGTTCACATGAAGTCCTGTCTCAGATGCTTCTTCTGACAACTTTTTACTTTTCACTTGCATATCTTCCAGTTTGTGCGAAATCAGACATATATATTCAGCGAAGTCTAGATCATCCAAGTTGTTTTTGTGTGGTCCGTTTTACGACCGTCGCATTATCCGGTCTAACGCACGCAATCAGGAAAATTATTGCAGATAGTAGGCAGACAGCCAGCATTGTCTTACTACTGTCCACACCTCGAAGGATTCCATGAGTTTCACTTTGTTGACTACTTGGCATGCAGCATTGTCGTTCAACTGTTGGATGAGATGTATATTTGTTGGCGGCACTTCTTGGTAGTAGCGAATTATTTGCCGAATCACCTCTCAATCGACGCTATATGCTGAAGGTCTTTTCAAAGAAAATTAAGTTCAGTGAGACAGAGAGGTGATCGCTATTCCAGGCTCTGTTCGACGATGATCCGTAGTCTTGTGTTTTGGTCGATGCATGACTTCCGCCTCCTGATCCAGCCTGTCTCGGTCAAAGTTTTTCATCTAGGTTGATGTGTTTGATTCTATTCAGGATAGTGTGACTTCGAGTTTTGAGTAGGAGTTATGTTCTCAACGAAAGAAGTATGTCCTCTGGTAGTTCTGCTACCGCTGTCGGTATTATTGGGCGTGTTGTAAGTGCCGGCCGATTAGGAAGTCTTTTCAAGTGTTCGTCCCACTCTTTCCTTTGCTCCACCTCTTTGATGATTGACTTTCCATTGTCATCCTTCACTGGCCTAATTTGTGTCGTGATTCTCCTCGATAGGAACCTGATTATTCGGAAGAGTGTTGTGAGGTCTCCTTTGCCTTCATTGCAGCTAGTTCTGCATTACTTCCCAAAGCTTCATACTAATTTCTCTTGTTTTCCCTGGCACTCTTCTTTACTCTTTTGTTGAAGTATTGTAGCCTGCATTCAATTTCTGTTTTGTTGCTCGTTGATGCACCGAATAATCCTTCATCTCAACATCCTTCTTCCTTCCATTGGTCTCCATGTGTCCGTAGAGGGCCACTGTTTGTTCTGTCTCCTCTTTCTGCCTAGAACTTCCATGCAGGTATTACTCTTCAGCTCTTGCAGGCTGTTCCAGTGCTTTTCAACGCAGGTCACTTCAACAGTGTAAATTAATGTCTCCGCATTTTTCCTCATGTTTTCAGTGAATATGTCCTTTGCAGCCTGATCCTTCATGTTTCGATTATTGGACTTGGCTTGTGATCTATCTGCATCTCCTGTTTTCCTTGAAGGCTTTCAATTTGACTTGAAGTGTTCCTCGAAAGAGATATTGGTCTGAGTGGAAGTCTGCTTCTCTTCTCACGTTTGTGTCCAGTAAGCTGCATCTCGACTTTCTTGAGCGAACATTGAGATGAAGTCAGATTGCTTTCTGGTTCATCCGTCTGGTGACTTTTATGAAGCTTTGTGGATATCTTTGTATTTTTGTACGCAGCCACCACTCACTAACTCACTGAAGGCGCAAAAGTCAACGAAGAAATCTCCATTTACATTCATCTCTCCCATAGATTAATTAGGTCTAATGAGATCTCTTCCTGTGTTGTCTGGTCCCAGTTTGGCGTTCATGCCTCTCAACACGATTTAAATGTCATCGAATGGATTATGGTTGCCTTCTGGATGACCAGAGTAGATGACTGACTCTCTCCTTGAAAATTTCGTAATTCGAATCCAATTACATCATATTTCGCATAATGACAGTAATGCATTCATATATCTTTTCATTTCCTCCGCAATCGAGGCTAATTTGCTAGTTATATACAAGCCAGGAAAGACAAATTCAAACAATAGTACATTTCAGCTAAGCGTGAGGAGATTAAAAGTATTGGGGA